CGATAAGGATTAAATTCGAATGATACGCGTTAGAGGAAGCGCGGATTACACTCTGAGCGAGGAGCACGGGGGATGATCGTTAACACGCTCGCCGTTATGATATACTGACTCACGTTATTAAATCGTTTCGAGTGATTAAAGTGAGATAAATTTCATTTCAAATTAAATTTTGCCAAAACATTTATTTAATTCCTCGTTACGATCAGCAACAAAGACACTTTTTCAATTTATTTTACCGATTCAAAATGATGCTTGAAGCGTATTATAATAAGTAAAAAATTTGTTCATAAGTGGCTGACAAGAGAAGATATTATCGATGATCGAACTCCTGATGATTTGCTGTAATTTAAAATTCTTAATGAAATAAAAAGGGCAAAACTTACTAAGTGATCTAATAACTTTGTACTCGTCGTTTGACGTCAGACTTTAGGGAAGCTTTTAAGTCACGGGATTTTGGGCAAACCCGCGCGCCTAAATACCTTGGATTTCGGTAGTTAATGAATGTCACTAGGTGTAAGCTTTCCTACGTTCAAGGTTCTAGTTAGGAAGTTTGTTAAGCCTCGCTGCTACGGTTTACAAATTAAACACACTTTTGGTCCTCAGGCAACTTTCCACTTGTTCTCTTGTTAGAGGGACACGTTCTCGATGGTTCGCTACTAGTTTCAATTCTACCGCATAGCTATAATTTAAAACTATATATAACTATAATAACGACACAGTAGTAAAGATATGCGACTACAATTGTGTGGTATGACGTGCATTGCGTTCAACTCATTGAAATTTCCGGCCTCAACGTTCGATCTGTCAAACACGAAACATGACCGTACGCAATGTGCTAACAATGAAGTAACTCGTAACAAGGTGCTAAATAGCTCTCGATTAGGTGTCACGTTTATTATAGGAGTTTTGTAGTTTTGTCATGCCTTGTTTCCAGAATACAGCCGCATATAATGCGAAGGAGCAAAACGAGAGGCTGACTGATATCGAAGACATGGATTCGCCTGGCATGGGGATCAACGCAAGAACAATTCCACCATTGTGCTACGGAAGAAACATGACATTCCCGCGGCCAGCCTCTTCTTGTAGCCACAGACACGAGCTTCCAGCCATTGTCACCGAGGGTGAAAGCTGTAGACGTCTTGCGGAGGTAAGCAGATACTATTAGTCAGGAATAACAATAGTTATATGTACTTCGTTACATTGTGTATGTTTATGCATTTATGGGAAATTGAAAAATGTTAGAATGCCCATAATATATAGAGATATATAAAATATCGGTACATATAAAACGCTCGTGATATTTAGTAGGTGGGATAAATGTCTATGTAGGATGCAACTTTTAGTTTCACTCATAAAACTAAGAAATTGCATAAATATTCGCTATCTAGTTGTAAAACAAAGTAAAAGGATCATGCTATGAGAATTCATCGATCATTTTTATCGCTTCTTTCTCTAAAGAAAACGATTTAATAAATTCTGAAGTATATGAAAAATCTTACATTGCCTATTTTGACTATCTCAATAATTCTAATGTTAAATTAAAATTTCAAATTATCATGATAAATTTGATGAAAAATCGAGTATTTCGACCACTTTGATAGCTTCAATTCTAAAAAAAATTCAACTTAAAAAAATCTCAAGTTCTATAAAAAATCACGAGTCGACGTTCCGCCATTTCGATTACATTAACAATACCATTAAATATTTCGGTAGTTCTATTGTTAAATTAAATTAAATTAAATTAAATTAAATTAAATTAAATTAAATAAAAATTCGAAATTTCAAATTCCTCTCAAATGGAAAAATTACACATCTGTAAAATCAATCTCTATCTTTCCATCTCTCAGCAACAAGAGAACAATTCGTGTAGCGATGGACAACTATCGGGTGTGATGCCAGATGTGGCGATGGCGACAGCCTCCTTCGGAGCATTGCAGCTGATCGAGGAGCAAGAATTGGAGCTGGACCTAGGGGATGGAGCTTCTCATCTTCTGCAGCACGTTTCGCCATCGAATGGAACGATGGGTTCCCACAGATCATCGCTTCCTCATCCCCATCAGAGGCACTACACTGGCCCGCCTCCTCCTCCGTACATGTACCACCGAGCTGGCACTGCCTTACCAAGATTTATTTAAGATTTCTACGAGATAAAAGGACTGTATGGCAACTATAACCACCCTTAACCGGGTCGTTCGTTTCGACGAACGAAATGGAATCACTAGGTGTACTCTTCATGTACTGCCGAGTTTGTTTTCTCAGAAGTTAGACTAGCAAAAGAAATATCTCTTGGTTGGTCTCGCGAGGGTTCAAATGAAATTAGATGAATTTAAAGGTTGGATATTTTGATTAAATATTGCTGTTGTCTGCGACCGTATAGGACGCTTCTGAGAAATATAGTTGTAGACGTTTAGAATTATTAATTTGTGTACCTGGCACTTCGAGGCACTTGATCTCGTTAGACGAGAACATTACGAATCGAAGGCTCGTATAAAAGATGATCCTTGTTCGTGTTTGTCTCTCTTCAGAATGACAAGATACTTGAGCACTTTTTTGTTGCATTTAATACGTTTCAATTCTTCTAAACGATATATTTGTTATACCATATAATCTTAAGTATCGGTAAATTTTCGTTCGATGGTAAATTTGATTATTATAGCGTGTTTAAAAAGTAAAAAATTTTTACACAGATCATTTTGTTATGAGCTCCTCGATTAACACTATTAATACTAATAACATATAATAATATGTTAATACAATATTCGGATACCGCGATGTTAGGTCAGTAAGTCTTCGAATGCTCAAGGAGACGCTGTAATTGGAAAATTATTCAAGCATCCTACACAGTCGTGCAAAATACGTATTAAAATGGAATATTCTAAGGCGATTCGTCCAAATTTCATTCCAATCTTCGACACCAATCTCAGGGCCTTTTTCTCCGCTAAAGAAGTTCAAATCCTAGAAGTATTTTATACTTCGGCGAACGCGAATGGGGCCCGTCCGCTGCACGAGGTGTTAGTTTTTAATTACTTTGTAAAAGGGCGCCTAAAAGGTGGACACTTCGTGCAGGTCTCGCGTCGCGAGTATTCACGATATACGAAATTATTTGAGGTCAACGATTGATTCGTTGAAACGATCGATATTGGTAGGACGCCTGCCGAGGCTTCTGTGATACACGAAGACGTACTTCTTGTGGTTCATATCGCGGCGAAGATTAAGCGCGCTGCGCGTCGATGAAATGAAACTTCGTTCTTGCGGGTACAAATTTACTGATACGACGAAGAAGAATACTATTGTACGTACTGGTTTATTTAAGCGCAGCTTAACGAACGTAGAGGACCCCTTGATTTCCAGGATACTTATGCAGAATATCTCAGGGTTTAACAACTGTGTCGACGTATCTTATGATATCAGTAAGCAAAAAATGTTATATAAATATAGGTCATTTAAGGTTTTATTAAAAAATTACGATAAATGTAGGTCATAGAAGAATGATACGATATATTACACCTGTTGTTTTTCATATGAGTGCGATTTTAAAATCCAATATCTGGTCAACCTCTCGGTTCCTGGGTTCTCTATAAAAATATTTATATAAAAAATATCCATATTTTAGATGTTGGATTTTCCGTAAAACTTCATGCATTTATCACTTATTGGTCAGTGGAAGGTCAGTATATTTGAATTGAACAGTTTGTTCCTGCTTTTAACTATGTTATATCAAAGTACACTCTTTTAGCCATTAAATAATATGAGAATCAGAAAATCAAGAATATTGTACTTATATATTTTTCCTGCAATTTTCATACGATATATGAAGGGAACAGTAATGGACTTACGATTACTAAATATGATACAACATAAGAATAAATTTACGATCGATATAACCATTAGCTGTTAATACCTTAAATTACATTTTAACAAAGCTTTAAACGACCTAGTTTATATAATATTTTGTGTTTGATTAAAGTTCAACCGTTAAACCCTAAAACATTCTGTATATCTATAAATATAAATATAGATATAAATATATATATATTTATAATTGTAAGCCGAATTTGGGTGACAATTCGATCGTGGAAAGTTCATGCTTGTTAGGTACAATCATGTAATAATAAATGTAACTTCTAGGTGCAGACGCGTGCGAAATGCAGATGCAGCTGTGGTTCATGTACATATGGGCACCGTGTATATGTACATGTGTGGATACAAATTGCGTGTGACTATGTGTTAGGTACACAAATGCGCGAGCTCTCTAAGTACCATTTAAAGTGTTAATTAGACGATGTTGCCAGAGTGAATGAGTGAATTGTCAAAGAAAAGAAAAAGCGATAGAATGTATGAGAGAAGAAAGAATGAGTTCTGAGAAAGGACGAGAGATATAGAGAAATTGACAAATGTAGAATTTGAAGAGAGAACGAGAGAGTGTTATCATGCTGGCGTGGAAGAGAAAGAGAATGAAGGTCACACGGAACGTGCAGGTATATATGATCAGTGTTTCTGAACAGTCATTGTTCTTTATTTAAAATGAAACGCCGCTGTGGGGTATGATCTTTGCTAATTCATATTACCTATGATATTCAATAAAAATTATTTAAATATTAGTAGATGCACTTTATCTTCGAGCAGCGTATCGTTAAATTATTATTTTTTACGTCCAGTCGGAGCGTAATCGACTGATTTTTGCGTTTGGAGAGGTGCGTGCAGATCTCTAAGGTTTTTTCGTCGATTCTTCCCGTTGTTAAAGTTACGAAACCTTAAAGTTTCGCATTGTTCGTTCGCTGTACAATATTTCGAACATATCGTGTTCAGATGGTAGCCGAAAAACGTCGATCCTTGTTTTCGTACAACGATAATTCCATAGTTTCTTTCGTTTCTTGTCATGAAAGCAACAAGACAGAAATAAAAGGATGTTCATTAAGAAAGAAAACCTGCGCCTCCGTTATTTTACATGATTATTCGCAGATCGATCTGATGTTGTAAATCTTCGTTCTTTCTTTTCCTTTTTTTTTGTTAAAATCCAAGCAGAGAATATAGGATTGAGGACGTGCAATGACGAGACTGCCTTTCACAATACCGTAAGGAATTTCTTTCTCGTTAAATTGGTGAGACTATTACGTAACATCGATATGGATTTTCTCAAATAAGAAATGAGCTTTATTCTATATGAAATCGACAAGATTAATTTGTGGTTCACTCGTCATTGTTCACGTCTATTTCGCTGAATGATGCATACTTTTGTAGCTAGTTATTTCCACTGTTATTACTCGAATTTCTTTTTGTTTATACCGTTGTTATTTTGTCTTTTACCAATTTTTCATTCCGTAGCGAAGACTTGAAGCTTTGTATATGGTATTTTAATTTATAAATTATAAACCCATTTTCTCGAAATTCTTGGCGTTCTTTAATATTTCGATCCACACCAATTTCACGCGTGGTTTCGATCAAAATTCACATTACATACGGTATATATGCCATTTTAATTCACATCGTTGCTCTTTAATTCCTTCTTTTATTATCTCCTTCCTTGTAATTTTACCTCCTATTTCATTGTTTTCTTTCAGTTTCGTTGAATTTAGTCCAGTTCCTTGAATCCGAATTTTCTGCATTAAAATAACTTTTCTTCAAGTGGATATTTAATGGAAAATGACGCCAAGGGAAGTAATTACACATATATTATGATATTAATTATAATTACAAATAGGAACAGCATGTGCATGAGATACGACTAAACATAAAATTCAGAAAATTTGGTTTAGAAAATTTCAATATCATGAATTACAAACTTGTATGTAGAAACAATATTGCATCACCCATATATATCACATACAATGTGATGAAATTATTGTACACCATCGAGACCATGTCTATAGAAGTAATATTACATCAACTGTTGCTCCTTTGAAATCGAGCAACTATCAAAGGAATCTTAATTTTACTAGAAACATGAAACCTAAAAAATGTTTTAATAGGTTTATATTATTCAAGTGTTTAAAATTACTCGAAGTCAAATAAATTAACGGATGACAATGAATGTAAAGGCTTAGGAGAATATTTCAAATTTACCTTAGCGGTCATAAAGTGATTTCCAGTAGTTTGTTTTTCAAACACGCGCAGGTAGCTTATCATGTAACATGAAAAATTGTCAACATACGGTCTATTATTATAAGAACTATAATTTCCAGCGTTCATAAATCTCTTGCAAAGTCTCTTGCGATCTTTTCGGATCTACATTTTCTGCTAATACGAATACAGTTGCCATTCAGTTTCCACGAATACACACTACATATCATTCTAATTCATGTTGTTCTTGCTTTTCGGTCCTATATCAGTTTATCTCATTTTCAGTGTTTGTAAACGAGTTTACAAGTTTTTCTTTTTAAAATCTGTAGTATGATTTAATCATGATATTGAAGCTTATTTCATTCACAGTTCCGAGTTGAATAAACACGTTCGGATGTGCACACGTAGTAATTTATGTTATTCTGTCACCATGGTTCTATTTATATACATGTTGACTTATTCTAGTTCCTCAGTGGTTGTGCATAAATTTCGTTTAACCTTTTTCGAAATTTGTGACGTAATTTAATTGTCGAATCTAAGTCAATTTTATTTATAGCTTCGATTAAAACGAACACAGCCGAATGTACATCATTTCGATTCATGAAACTTATCTATATATCATCTAATTTCAATGGTTATGAATAAATTTCATATAATTTTTTTCGAAATTTATGACATGATTTAACTATTGAACCGAAGTCAATCCCACTCGCAATTTCGTCCACCACGAACACGATTACATCATTTTCATTCCCATCATTCTTCCACTTCGCTGTTCGAACATTTCCCTTATAACTTTACTTTCCGTTCCATTGTTTCCCTAAGCGTTTGTCCGGACACAACCTTTTGTTGCGAAACATGAAAAACTGCCTACATATCATCTTATCCCAGTTTCAGTGGTAGTGAATGAGTTTCTTCGCAATATTTTTTTCACTCTCCACTGGAACTCGATATGGCACGCGCGGCGCATCGTAAATAGAAGAAGTAGCTCTAAAAGGCAAATTTCAATTTACGTAACTCAGACGCGGCTGAGAAATCGTCGAAGACACTTGCTGCGGGCGGAGTTAATTGCGAACGCAACAACGGACTCGAAGGAAGAAAATTTTATGTCGTAGTCATCGATGGAATTATTTCGTCAAGGTATTAGAGAGAAACAATTCTTTTACATGTTGCATGTTTATACGTCGATTATCGAGTCTTTCGATCGTTCATCCGTATCTCTATCTTATAATTGTTCGGCGCGAATAAATACTTCGTTAAAAAGTTATAACAAAAATATGAAACCTAGAGTTTATACGTAAGTATGTAGCAGCACATGAGTCATAGGATGAAGCGGATCGAGAACGATTCATATTGTTATTGTTGTGCCTCGGAACACGGACACAACCTTTTTTTTTTTTTAATATTTATTAAAATTACAATCAATTCTCGCGTTGAGAATTTTCAGTAATTTTTCTGGCGTGGCGCAGTAACATGGCTAATTATTTATTATAAGTTAATACTTGTTATAGATAAGTATAATTTGTACGTAAGTATTGTAATAAGTAAATGTTACTTAATTTAAATAACTAGTTGAATCTATCGTTTAGTGTCTCTTCAGCCTGCGGATCTGGTCCGTCGTATCAAGTAGTCCAGTGATTAGAGGGTTTCGGTGTTTGTTGACTCTTTTGCTATATCTGTCGCTATATTTTGCTATTTCTTCTTTGACTGTGGGTATCTTGAGGTCGCGGTTTTGTTGGTAACATATCAAGGTGCATCAATTAGGAATCTTAGCGTCGGACACAACTTTGACGCTCGAAACATATCAATAGCCAAAACAAAGTCAACGTTATGGGCAACCATCGATTCTAGACAAATTCAAATTTTTCGACTGCCCCCGACCAGTATAAATAAAGGGACGCGATTGGAGGCGAGTTAGTATATACCGAGTGACACGAATTAGCGATCAATATCTACGAGTCGGGTTCTCCGCGAGCGAACATACACTATCGTTGTGAATACAGTAAACGAGCGTCTTTCGATAGATTGTACTTTTATTTATTTATTTATTTAAGTTATTCCAGATATATTTGACGGGTTGTGATAGCAATTTCTCGCTTTCGTTATTTTATATTATGTATACTCAACCAATCCTCTATAAGTACTTATGTGTGATGTGAAAAGTTAGTACAAACGAGTTTCACGAACAGCGTATCAGCCATAAAATTACGCGGTGCAAAATTACAGTCCGTAGCTGCATGGACGTAGAAATAGTTTCGCAGATCCATAATGTCGGCATTGTATATAGAAGAGACGGCCAGCGCGAGTTACAGAAGTGGTCGTCAAAGGGTTAAATAGTCTCACATCAGCCAAGTAGGTCAGTGAAGTAGATCTGTCCGTTGCAGATTATACGATACGTATCTCTGTTCCTTTGCTTCATCTAGAAGCCTCTATGTAGTAAAAGTTGATTCTCTTTTTAACGATGATGAAAAGGATCGAATAATTGGCAGTTGGTCCTTTTCTTCGACTTCTATGGTTATTTCTGGATTACTTCGTCGTTAAGTAATATTCTCTCATGTACGATTTCTCTACGATCGATTTAGTCAAAATTAGATTTGAAATAATTCAAATTTATAAAACGAATAGATCGCGTACTAAATTAAAAATAATTCAATTGTCATCTACATTTTATTCGACATGAAAAGTAAATTTCATAATTTAGAAAGCTTCAGTGTGTCTTGCTATTTCGCGACGACCATTGCAAATTGAAAAATATCTTTTCTTTGGATCATCGGCATATGTAATTTGTAATAAAAAATATAAATTCAATAATTTTTAATATCTTGATAAAAGGTACTAAAATTGTACCCTTTTTCATTATCTTCGTAAATCTACCACTTACAAAGAAGAAACCTCGTGAACTAATAGCGTGAGTACCCTCAATAAGATAGAATCATCTGTACGAAGAATAAATAGATCTAGTGTAAAACATCGTTAAGAAGTGTAAAAAAGGAGGATTAGTGATTTTAATGATCGATCATGGCTAGTTTATTTTCTGCTGGCTGAAACACGTTATCGGCGGTTGCCTTATAAATTTTCAAAATTTTCTCATCGCTGACCATAAAACAGCAATTTACAAATGATTAAGGCAAACATTTTAAAAATAAGTACACCGGTTCGTCGGTGGCTCGGTTATCTGATGAACCTCCCTCATTAACCCGACAAGGAATTTTGATTTCAAACATAGATACATACTACGCGACAAACTTAAATAGTGTGTCTGCACATTTCACTAACGTAATCGCGACGTAGCATTAGCGTAGCATTAACGTCACCGCGAAGGGGCGATATTTAAAACAGCTCTTATATCACGTAAATATGGCAAAAAAAGAGTCGTAGCCACTGGTCGTTGCGTTTTGCAAATATAATAGAATATTTTGATATCTTTTATTAGAAGATCATTGAAATTAACCCTTAAATGCACGATGCTTCTAAATATAATGATATATTTTGAAATTTTTTATTACAATTTTGTGCCTTATAATTTTTCAAGAAGATGGAACACGACCAATCTTAGGTTTTTATCTCAGATTCCTCGTGATTATCTATCAGCAGGACCGGTTTTCTTTGTTTCGAAATCGTTGCTTTCGGCCAATTCGTTTTTAGCGAATTTAGCTTTCGATTTTTCACATTGGCAGTATTTTAATCACAAAAACAATCAATTTGGTCTCGACTAAAACTTTCGTAATATATGTATTTAAATAACCCTGATTATCTTAATTAGTAATTTATGCCGATATTGTACATATAAATTTTGACTTTATAGATAATAAATTATACAATACATAAACGAACTTCCCTTCGAAATTAATACATAATAGCTTAATAATGATTGTTTATTAAATAATAATCAATATTATTTCCACAGTAATTTTATTTGCACGTTGGCTCAGGAATGCAGACTTTGATGAACAGAGGTTAATAAATGTCGATCATAATACATATAAGAACACTGTATGTATATTTCTCCATAAGCCACAGTATCATCTAGCACGTAAAATCGTTTTCATTCGTATCGGATAAACGGAATACGGTGGTCGGTATCGAATTCAGATTAGCCTCGAGTCGTACAGCATCAGTATCTTAATTTAATAAAGGTAAGCCGTACAAATTGTACTGTGAATCGAATCGATATCCCATGCATTACATGGATGAGAGTATATCGTGCGTTATTCTTCGTATAATTATTCTGTTCCTTATACCTGTGTCTATTAATACCTGCGTTTACTCAGGGTAAGAAACTTATTCTCTAAGTCACGACTGATACAAGTTGAACAAATATTTAACGTCTACATATACATACATATACACGATAATTGCGAAGAAATATAAAAATAGAAGAAAAAAGAAAGGGACAATTGGCGTCCGACGAATTTTCGTCGAAGCGGATTTCGACGCAGGGAAGATGAAATCTCAGTTCTCGACAAGAATTACGTAATAATTGTGACCTTCCCTGTCACTGGCAAGCGCTTAACGATGTTCATTCGTTTAGAAATATAGAAAATACGTCTGTTGTATTATAACAAAGTAACAAACACAATACACCTAAATTAATTAGCAATAATAGTCTGTGCGAAGGCCTCGCCTTAACCTGCCTTCGCTCCTCCCTTGGCGTGTCTCTGAAATACAAATACGAAAATTGGGAAACAATTAAATTTAAGCGAAAATGATTACGTGATACATTTCGTCGACTAAGAAATGACTCGATCAATACGAATGACGTAGATTACTTTACCAGACTAAAGGTGCATGGATACGATATAACATTTTGCAAAAATTAAATATTAACTTGTAGTATATTTCGATCTATCGTTGCTCTGAAGGCAAAATATATAAAACTCGCACGGCATTTACTAAAAATGTTGAAAAACGAAGTTGATACGTAAAAATTAAAAGGTCGAAGCAAAGCCAAACACTGACGTTAATAATAACCTCTGTTTTTCTATTTATAGAACTCTATAAAATCGCTTTCCTCACCGGAACTTCCTTGCGGCCTATGATCTTGCACTGAGGGCGGCCGACCATACCATACTGGTAGTTACATGAGCAATCTTTCTGGAGTTCTAAATTAATGAGTCCATCGACGACCCTCCTTGCCGCTACTTGGATGAATTGCTTCTTCTGATTCGGCTTGGCGTCCAAGAAGTTGTTAGAACTGAACGCAGCACCACCAGACTATAATATGATATCAGGTAAATGTTCGATTCACTCAACTTCCTACGTGTTTCTGTCCTTTGAAACGCTCACGAGCTACGTAATAATAGATGAGGATCACTTGTTGAACACTTACGGATACCGCGAAGTCAGCACAGACGTCGTTGATCGCCGGTGAGAGATTGCTCTTCATGTCGGTGTTTCCGGTAAGAGGCTTCTTCTTGCTGTCAGCAAACGTGTACACGCTGTCTTGGTCGTATCCGACAATATTCTTTAGAGGTTTGCCCGAGACGAGCAGCTCTTCGGGATACGACACATGGTAGTAGGTAAGCCCCAAATCACGATATATCTTGTGACCGAGCAAAAGCCTGAGATGTTGCAACTGAAAGAGAAAACATGGTTTAAATATTATTTAATTCCACAAATCGATCAAATTCTACAGTCGAAGTACGTTTTTCTTGACGATTATTAGCAGATATTTATGCAAATACATATCTTCGAGAATATAATTAAAAAAGTAGAAACTTTGTTTTATTTAAAAAGTACCATAGGAAGCAATACACTTGTACCATGCCATATTATGTACCTTTTGTATAATATTGTACTTCCATATTTTTTATAAGCGCATAAAAATTCGCGATCTAATTATTAGGAAATTTAAATTTACATAATTATTCGCAGACAGTCTAATGATTAATGATCATAATTGAGGATTATTTTTCAATTTCTGATCAATTTTATGATGGATTATCTATCATCAACTATATGTGTGTAGCGAACGTATTAAACTAGGATTTACTGTCATAGAAAGCCTTACTTACCGAAATAGGGAAAGGACTCTTCTCACAAGGGTTGGCAATCACTGCGATCACAGCTTTGGCCGCCCCAGGTCTGAAGGGATATCGAATCGCAGTCTCGTAAGCGTCGGTCAACTTGAATGTACCCAGCTCAACGTCCAATTTCTGGCGTAAATAATTAAGCCTCTTCTCCGTATCGCCCGTCTTTGCTTCCTAGAAATCGTTATTTTCTTTTTTACTACACATAAACCACGCCAGCTACAAAAATGTCGGGAAATCCTATGAAGCGTACTAACGTGTATCAAAGAAGAAAAAGCCAGAAACGAAAAAATACATAGAAATTGATTATTGTTGTTCATCGTTTATTATTTAGGTAATAGTCTCTGAGTTTTGAGGATCTCTAATTGAGAAACTGCTAACTAAGAAATTAGGGTAGTTTTTATACTTTGACACTTCTTGTTATTATAAAGACGTAGAAAATTGTCTTAGAAATCAACAATTTTAAGATATTTACAAAAATTAACTACATATATGTATATATTCTATTCTAATTATCAATACTGTTTCTATTAAATGAAATAAGAATAAATAATGTGGAACCTCGTTCCAGAAAACAAATTACTTTTGCTGTTAATTTTTGTACATATCTTAAAGTTCACGATTGTTAAGACATGTCACCATTCTATACATATGTTGTATAGTTAACGATATGCTTTGAAATTACTCATACGTTCTTCAAATGCTGCATCAAATGCAGCACATTGAAATATAGCACATAATACGCGTTTAATAGACTTCGACTTCATTTACTAGACAGAATATTCATCGAGCAACGATCTACTATGTATTAGGAATAGTTTCTGTCGTATTTATCCTTGCAGATTTTCTTGTTTTTCAATCGATTTAGCGATAGTATTTTATATAACTCAGGCAACTGCTAGTAGACGTATCCAATTTTAAGTCACAACAAGGAAAATCAATTTTGAACGGTGAATCAACTTCTTGTTATTGAAAATGAATCGTATAAAACATGCGGGGCGCCGACCACGTGATTTCCACGCGCATCTAGAGAAAAAGTTAATGATGTCGGTGAATGGCGTGTAAAAAAACGATCATTACGTCGATCGGAAGTGTAATTGAACTCTTGAATGATCTTTACTGTTCGGTTCATTGCATCAGCCTCTACTTCTGCCACATGTTTCTTTAATGAGATTCGAAGCGTTCATTTGTGGAGTAAATGAAAGGATAATTCGATTTCCTTCGAGACGTTTGAAAAACGTAGCCTTTTTGATAGCCAATGATATCTTGTTGTGTATTTGGTGCCTATGAAAAATTATATTTACTATATTATAAAGTTTTTGATAAATAATTAAATTTAGTCAAAAATTGAGCCAGCCTAAATACTTCGATCAAAGAGGAATTAATCTATTGAAAAGGTACCTCTTGATTTTAATTGGATCGTTTATCATTTATCGGATCTATTAGATTACAGATGAAATAGGCGAATTTTTACTAAAACTTTCAATGAAAATAATAGAGCTTGATCATAATGCAAAACAATTATTTTACCTGATCGTTACAGGTGACTTCTTTTTGTCGATCAGGTTACTTGTTCTTTTTTACATTTGTGTCTCTCGATCTAAATCCTTTATATCAATAGCAACTTATCTGTACTTTTATTGTATTATGTAATATTAATACAGTACAAAAACTTTATTAATATTACGAACATTATACGAACATATTTTGCCTACGTTACGTCCAAGTTCACATCTCTTTAAGAAATATGCTGGAATTTTATTTGGATCTATGTTTTGTTCTAATAAACAATTTGCTGTGTATGATAGTTAATAAAATACTAACTTGCAGTTTAAAAAATCGACTAGCTTCGAGCTTTAAATTAATGTATAATATATATCATCGAACGGCACGTTTAATTACTGATTTCTGAAATATTTCTTTAAAGTTAGGAACAAGTTTTCCAAGCAACGCGTTCGACAGTATTTTATCCGACAACGCTACGAATCTTCCACTTAAACTTTCGTGACGAACTTTTCAAATAACTTTGTTTATCTAATATCTTCGTTTATCGTGTCGAGAAAAGTTACTGTTTCCCTATATAATGCCTTAAAGAAGTAGAATTACCTGCCAAGTAACTGCTGGTTTCTTTTCGTGGAACTTCATGTTCTTTACCTCACCGTCAATGTTGGTGTCGCCATTCAACGTATAGTGTTGTGGCCACTTCATATTCTCGCTGAATCCAATAAGTCCAATGTGTACATCTCTGTAAAATTAATTGTAATGAAAATGGTAAACATTAATCTGGAAAAAATCGGTCAAATATAGTGAAATCTACACAAAAGGAGACAAGAAGTGTGTTCTCTAAATTTCTTTTTAATCCTTAGTTGAGACTGTGATTGAGTTGTTTGAGACATTACTACATTGAGATTTAAGTACGCATATTTTTACACTTCAAAGACAAAATACATGTTAATAATATTGTTACGACCGTTCGCGGAGAGACGCGGTCGCTAGGAAAACGCGTCAGCGAGAGGCGTAAATTCTCGCTACGATTGTGTTAATCGACGCCGCGAAATAGTCGTCACCCTGTTTCGATAACAGAGGTGGTTTAATGAATGTAACACTGTATTAACAGGTTAACATAGAATAATATATTTTACAATAATATGATGAATATGTTACAGAAATTTGACTCGACTTTGCGATATCTCTAGATAAATTCGTTTGCTCGTCAGATTTGTCGAAGTGTCACGTTTGATTCGTCAGAAGGAACTGAACACCCTTCGATTATTCCTTTGTTTCATTTGAAGGACGACCCCCACTTCTTGTGTGAAAAACGTAACGGTCAAAAATCGACGTTTCTAGAGCTCGCTGCTTGGCGAAAATTATGCTCTCGTCGATACATTGTATATGATCCGGCGGCCAGATAAAACGGTCTGCCTGCGACATTGTAGGACCGCGAGCGACGGTTAGAAAAAACAGCCTGTGGTAAGCCCCGTGGCGTAACAAATATAATTTGATTTTATATTACATATCGGCATCCAATATATATTTTTAATAACCTTTGTCTAAAACAGTCTAATATTTATCGAATAATATAACTTTGGTAATTTTTGTATAGTTTCAATTTTGTAATTTTTATTACGCGGTGTTGCTTTTATAGTCTTATTATTGCATAATTAACTATAAGTAGCTATATCGTTTCTAAACTTATTACAATATTTTATATTTATTTAACTGTAAAATTACTTGAAAAAATGCAGTTGTTTTTATGTGTATAATGCAATGAATTAGGAAATGCATATGAATCAGAAGAAGAGATTTCAAAGATTTGTTTCTATGATAAATCGAAAATCCAACTCACGTAATTCCTTGTTGTTTCAATTCCTCCCTGACCTCAGACATCAAAGGAACAATCATCTCTTTGTAGATTTTGTCGTTCGGTGTCTGTTGTTCGACTACGAAAACAATGTCAGCCTCTTTCTTCGGAACTATCACGCTGAACGTGTCGCCTACCTCGATTTCGTTTGCTCCTACTTTGCAATTCACTGAAAATAGGAGGAAAATACTTAGCTCCTTTTATCTCGAACGTTTCAGAGTCAATGGTACGCTTTAGAGGGAACTCACCACAAGACGCTGGAAGCTGAGTGCTCATGACGCCTTGCTCGTAACAAGCATAGTGATAAGCTGTAGCAATTATGCAAGCTCCGTTTGGTGTATTAACGGCGGTCGCATGATCGCAAGCTTCGCGATACAGTACTGGATTGACGATATTGAAGCAAGATCTATAATCATATTTTATCAAATATTAGAAAAACTTGAAATTAATATTCAATTTAATATTCGATTAGATATTACAATAATATCATATTATTCAAATAAAAAAGTATAAATACGAGTGATTTGTAATATGGATGAAAAATTTGGGATTATTTATTAAATTAGAAGAAAACTTTGATTTTCTCGGTGAGAGAAGTATAAAATTTTATGTTCAATATTTTCAATACGTATAGACGAGTTTTTAGATATAACTGCAAGGAAATTGTAAATTACGATAATTAATGTTAACAATCAAGGTCAAGTTACTGAACTATAGAGGAAAGATATCGTAGATTTTTTATTTTTATGCCACATGACAAAAAAGGAGAGCAACGTCACCGAAACTTAATGCAAATTTGTTAGGTTCAAAGATATAAGCGAT